GCCCCCCCCCCCCCCCCCCCCCGCAGCGCCTGCCTCTCACTAACACCCTCTCCTTCGCCTGCTCTGCTCTCTGCCTGTGGTCTCCTGACTCACCCAGATCTGGCCAGACTTTTTGTCTCATTCGCTACAGCTCAGACTGGGGACAGGGCCTTGCTTGGGAATTGACTGGAGTGGCACACTAGGGGTTGCTCTGGCTTGCTAGGGCCCTGGGCACTGGGGCTGTGGGACGGATGATGAGTTTATATGTTCCTTGGAAGGGAAGAGAGGCATGAGTAAGGTCCCCGTGTCTCAAAGGAAGGTCATCCCTGTCCTGGGTACCGCATATGAAAGCGATCACAGCTTTCTGTTCCTGCCAGGACTTCCTCTCCTGTCCTTTATTACTGCCTTCCCCTCAGCCACAGCTCTCCCACCAGCTGCTAGACCAACCTCCAGCGCTTCTCTGTTTGAACCTAGAAGGGCACAAAAGCCAAACCCATCATGGGGCCAAAGCATTCCCCAGCCAACAGTGCGGAGGGGCCAGTCCCTCAGCAGCAGGGGCAGTGGCCTGTAGGGTCTCAGGAGGAGCTCAGTAAAGGCTCCAGGAAGGCCCTGGGCTGACTAGGGAGCTGACATCTGCTGGTTCAGGGCTGTTTGGCCCAGGACCTTCCCAACATTCTGGGATTTGTGGGAGGAGTGAGGGAACGGAGGGTTAGCCTCTGGCAGGGATTTATGGAAGGAGTGAGAGAACGGAGGGATAGCCTCTGGGTATACCCCTAAACATCTGCAGACCTTCATGCTGGTGGGTGGCCAGTCTCTCCTGTCCCCTAGAGAGAAGAGCAGAGTATGTACTTACTGTGGTGACAGTACACATGGAAGCTGAGATGGATGTATAGTGAACACAGGCCTCTCTGAGAAACGGGGATACCCCATGCCTCAACACCCTCACCCTCAAAGGTTGTCTCTCCCAAATGACAGTGTATTTCAATGCCATCCCCAGGATTCAGGCTACAGAACGTATGGACCTCAGGGTGGCCACAGCCAAAGGCTGACTCAGAGAGTTGGCCATAAAGAACCCAACTTGTCCTAAGGCGGGGCTTCACGTGGACCCTGGGGGCTGATGCAGGCAGCCTGTGTTGGAGAAGCAGCAACAGACCACATTTAAAGCAAAAGCCAGGAGGGAGGGGACAACTCTACCAAGAGACTAGGGTGGAACACAGCCTCCAGCTCTAGTGGCAAAGACAAATAGGACGTGGGCCCAGATCATACAAGGGAGACAAAGGTTTGGCCTGCTCTGCATACCGTCACTCACCGAGTCCCAGACATGCCTTTGCCTGCATGACCACACGGATGCAACAGAGACCAGAGACAGGCACACACAAGGGCCCGAAGGCTACAAGTGTGACTAGTACTGTGTCATATCCAACTGCCACCCCAGGTGTGTCTCCACAGTCTCGTATACACAGCCACTCATAGTGAGTCCAGGAGTGCCACCACACAAAGGCCCTGATACATGCAGCTAATTTATGTAGTCACAAGTGGCTGTTGCAGACACCTAATGGCTCCCGGTCACATCAGCATCTCACTGCAGCAATACCCACAAGTAACACATATAACACATATAACATCACCCTTCATACCATTAAGACATGGTATAAAATACATCTAGCTGAAGATCCCCAAGTAATCACGATTCTGTGGACACCTATACATGAGCCAAGATGAGCCATAACTCCGTGGTCATTATCACACACTTCCCAGCCCTAGTCCTTTGAACTGTGTTAAACCAGGCAGCCGAGGAGGGCTCGCAGAGAGCCGGTCGGTGGGCACCGCACTGTAAGGAGTGGAGCTGGAGGGAAAGCCAGCACTGGGTCACCAAGTAACCAGATCAGAAAAGTCAGTGCTTCCTGGGGCCTCGACTCCCCATCCCTCAGCTGGCCAGGCCTTTGGAATCAGAGGCCTCTCCAGTGGAGGAGTTGGAGGGGCCAGGAGGGGAGCAGAGAGACTGCTGACAGAGGGGAAAGTGTTTGGAAAGAGGAGGCTTCTGCGGTTTGGAAACTGCAGGGCTTCCAGCCCCTGCCTCCCATACTGGGACAGGCTGTCCACCTCCTCCAGCCTACCCACCCACCGGCCTCCTGGCCAGCCTTTATTCACCAGGGCAGGAGAGCCTTCGTCCCTGCACACACTGATCATAGAACCCAGAAGCCCTGACCAGCCCCCAGCCACCTCAGTCTTCCCTCAAGCCTGTCTCTTAAAGGGGCATCTCTTCCAGAGACCAACTGCAGACCCCCTACCTAGAGAGAGCATTTTCCATCTGTCTGAAAATCTTGTCTAGACGTTGGCCATGGGGTCTATGGCCAGGTCCAAAGCGGGGACCTGTCTTTGCTTATCCTCAGCTCTCATGTAAGATGAATGGCCTGAGACCCAAGTCACCTGTGTCAGCAGGAGGTGGATTACATCTCTGTCTCCTCGGCCAAACAGAGCTAAAAGCCACCTGTCCAAAGAGACAGGCGGACAGAGGTGTTCCCTCTACCCCGCCCTGTCAGGAACCAGGGCCTGAACTCTTCTCTGGAACCCTGCACTGAAAAGGACAGAGCAAGCCTCCGTGCATACCCAGTACTGTGTCATATCTTAACTGGGAGAGTATGACATCCCCAGTGTCCCATAGCACAGGGACTTTTGTGGATGCAGCCAGCTCACTGGCCAGAAACAATATCCACTGTTCGCCCTGTGCCCCACGTGGCTGGTCATGGACTCCGCCCACCACACACACTTAAAAGGTTGCTGTGGCCAGGCTTGGCATCCAAGAGGCTGGACACATGGTCAAGGCCCTGTTCTTAGCCATGGGCCAGGGCAGGGTTCCTCTGATCTTCCCCTAAGAAGGACTGTCATTTTCCTCTTCAAAAGCAACCTTGCCTAGGAAAACTTTCCCGATAGCTTCCTGCTTGAACCACGGACTTTTAAAAATAGCCTGGCTAAACAAAGGCAAAATGTGGAGCCCAGGCCTCGCCTTCCTGGACCTCAGGCCCTGCATTCCCAGACCTGGCGCTGTCCCTTAGCCACTGCCTAGGCCAGGGTTTACCGTGCCCCACTGGAAAATGGAGCAGGGTTGGCCTCCAGCCTGTGGAACTTCTCCAAGGCCCTAGTCAGAATCTGGCTGGGCAGGTTCTCAGGCAGTGTTGGCAGCACTCCTGGGCAGGGCTGGGATGGAATCTGCAGGCCCCGAGCAGAGCCCTCTTCAGCTGATGCTGAGAAAAGCCTGTGGTAAAGGGCCGTCCAATGAAGAGCTGTGCGGCCTCCGGAGGCTATCACCCACCTTTTGCTTTTAAGAGGCCTTTCAAGTATGGCCTGTGGTCCATCAGTTCCATCCCGCAATCTGGCAGGACAGTGGCCTCTACCAGAGGGAAATACTGTTGGCCCAGCACAGGGCTGCAGACAGCACCCTGATAATCCAGGGGAGAATGAGCAGGGGCCCTCCCACAGCAGGGCATTGGTGTGGCAGCTCTCTCTGAAACACCCAGAGGTTGAGGCAGGCTGCCCAACAAGGCCTGGTGAAGGAGTCCAGGGGGTGGGTACCACAGCTGGGAGCCAGGAGCAGCAGGATGGATCCTGCTATTTTGAATTCCCGCACACGTTTCCCACTCAGTGCCTGTTCATCCCTGCTTCCCTCCTCACTGAGTCTCAGCCTCTGTTGCAACAGCCTCTACTACTGTGTGCTGGGAACCATGACGACCTCTAGAAGGGCTCAGGGCGATCCTCCTAAGGGCACCTCCAGAAAACCACTTCTTCCAATTGGGGAGGGTGCAGCATGTTCCTCCCTGGGCTCCATGCCATCCTAGAGACAGTCTTAGAAGCGGCGGCAGGTGGCCTCAGCCAGTCAGTCTCGGGTCCACCAGAGGGTTTCACGAGGACAGGCGTGGACCTCGGCAAGCGTGGAAGCCTGAGCAATGGTCCTTAGGGATGCCCAGGGAGAGAGATGCCTACTGCTCAGCCTTCCCACCAAGCTCTTTCCAGGATTTCAGTGCTGTGGGAAAAGTTAGAGGCAACCCTGAAGGCACACAGGGAAAGTAGAGCAGGGAGCTCTCCCGGAGGGGCTGGTGGGAGGGCCCTTCAGCTCTTCCCTACCCTCGAGGGCTTGGCAGCTCCACAGCCGCAGAACCTTCACCTTACCGGCAGCCACTCCTGTAGAGCTGGCTCCATGGAACACTCTAGGGTAGATGCCGTAGTCTGCTGTTAGAGGGGCTGAGTTGCTCAGTAAAGGCACCCCTGAAAACATCTGAGGGAGAAATTAAGAGACTTAATCTTGGGTATGAGTATAGATGGGACATGGCATGTTCTGAGTGAGGTGGGGTGTGCTAGGATTCCCAAGGCCCTTGGGAAACGCCTCGCATTGGCCTCAATTTATTGACTTAGACTCTAGGAAAAGCAGATTCCTCCAAACTCTGGGCCCCAACACCCTGGCTAACGGACCTGCTCTCCTGCTGCCCAAGGCTGTTCTGGGCACCTGGAATCCTGCCTGGCTTTGGCTTATCCTAGGAACAGCAGTGACCCCCTAACCCAGTGATTCTTCCTCTGCTCTCTGAGTCCTGCTCCTTCCTCCTCTCTGGAAAAGCCAGTGCTGGCCCAGGACATGTTAGCAAGTGGCTGAACAAGACTAGGCCGGGATGGAGGGGGATGGGAGACAGGATCCATCTGCACCATAGCCTCAAATAACCGTGCTTTCTTACTCCCCGGCCTACTCGCAGAAGAGAAGTATGTCACCGTGCAGCCCTACACTAGCCAAAGCAAGGACGAGATTGGCTTTGAGAAGGGTGTCACCGTGGAGGTGATTCGGAAGAACTTGGAAGGCTGGTGGTACATCAGGTAGGAGCCTGGCTCCCGGGCAATAGAGCTCAGAGCAAAGTAGCGGGTGGTAGGAGCATCCTAAAGACAGCTGTGTGCCAGCTCTGCTCAGCCCACTGATTGTCTCCTGAACACACAGGCCGAGCCCCGGCCAGGGGCGCTTAGGGGTCAGCTCAGCTCACAGGCAGAGGTGCAGTCCCTCACCGTGCACCTGCCAAGAGGTCACATCTGGGTCTTGTTTTCTGTGTCCACCTTGGCTGCCTAACCTGCTCTTCAGCCTCCAGAGGCCCTGCTAAGCCCCAGAATGCTGCCTCTGCTCAACACTCAAGGCCCCAGGCATAGGCCTTCTGTGTCCATGTTCCTGGTGGGTGTAGCCCCTTGCACTCTGCAGGGCTGGAGCTCTGCCTTCTCTCACTCTCTCAGAGCCTAATAAGAGGTTCATTTGGGTGTGTGTGAGGAGTGGAATAAGCTTAACTCTGTAGATCTCATTCTGTCACCAGCAGTAGACCTGCCTCAAGGGCATTTGTGTCTGGAAAGTTCCTTTGGAGCAGTTCATCTGTGGCGAATTTGCTCAGCTTAACAGTCCCCTATGTGAGCTGCAGGGACAGCTGCCTCAGTTCCCCACCCACCCCCAGACTTACTGTGGTCCTCTTGAAAAGGCCACTGCTGTGACATCCATCAGTGTGGCTCAGAACACAGAGCAGCTTGCTGGTCCTGAGATGTACCTTTCTATCTTGTTAGGTGTTGTGGGACTGTGTATTTAGTCGTGAGTTATCCAAAGCAACCACCCCTGGATTTTTATGTTCTCTAAGCAGTGGAAACTGGAACCAACTGCAAAACCATCAACCACAGCCGGACATGAAAAGGCTAACGTAGCCCAGCTGGCTGGTGGCCTACGTGCATTTGCCTAGAAGTGATCCCCATAGCTGCATTTTTTTATTTTGGATTTTCTGTTTGTCTGTCTGTCTGTTTGTTTGTTGTTTTGTTTTGTTTTTTAAGATAACAAATAGCATCACTCTGGTCTACTTCTAGTCAGCTACTGTCCTTATAGCTTGGATCTTTCTAGCCAGTGAGGACTTGAATTGAGAAAGACTCTAGTGATCCCATTCTACCTTAAGAAGGCTGCCAGATACCACCTTAAACATGCTATTTCCCAACATTCCAAGCTGTGTGTTGATCCTCATTTCCTGTCTTTCTTTCCTCCCCCAGACACACACACACACACACACACACACACACACACACACACACACACTCCCACACATTCCCTCTGCAGCCTGCGTCTCTGGAGTCAGAGCTGGGAAACAGCTGTGAGGAAGTTGCTGTGCGTTGCTTCTGCCTGCTGTATTCTGTAACACAAAGCCTGGGACATGGAACACAAAGGGCTGTGAAATGGGACACCCCAGGCCTTGTTGCAGGCCTGACTGTCTCCCCACAGCCCCTGTCCCTATTCCTTTCGCATAACAAGATACCAGCAAGGTGTCTCCAGCTTTTTCTGGGCTTCAGGAACCCCAGGCTCTGGGCCTGGTGTCACACCCTTCCCTCAGGCCCCTCTGCTATCTGCCTTGCCTTCTGAGCCTTGGCTACCACCATAGAAAGGTGAGTGTACACGCTCACCCACTGTTCTTCTCCATTCTTAACAGACTCTGCTTCTGTTTGTACCCATCACACCCAGAAGCCATCCTCAGTAATGTCTGCCCGCTAAGCAACAAGTCAGTTGGGCGCGACCTGTATGTACATGAATTCGAGACGTCACCTCCTGTCTGAACTTCTGTGTTCCTTTTCTCTTACCTAACACACTCCCAAGATCAAGGTCACATCAGGAAGGGCAGTAGGGGGTTGTCAGACATCTGGCCTGTAAGAGCTAAAGAGCCAGCTGGGTCCCAGGGAGCAGATGGGGACATTGCAACCCAGAGTTGGAAGCACTGACCAGTTAGTGCTGGGCCCGGAAGCAAGTTCCCTGTGGATTTGGGTAAAGGCTCAACACCGTGTGGAGGAAGAGAGAGAAGTTGTTTTAAAAAGTCAACGAATCACCAAAAACTAAGTCAGCCCTCTCATTTGCCTTTAGCCTTTGTTTATGAGCTTTCGGTTTGGTTTGGTTTGGTTTGGTTTGGTTTCACCATAACAATGGTTGGTGTTTTAGCCAGTCATATGCTTTCATCTGTATTTGTAGCCCTGGTTAGAATGGTTTTTTCCAACCCCCAAGAGTACATAAATATGACTGGTTTTGTTTGTTTGTTTATTTTGTTTTGTTTTGTTTTTTAAACACAAAGTCTTGCATGTAGTCCTGGTTGGCCTGTACTCCCTGGTAAGCCTCAGCCTCCCCGGTGGTAAGATTGTAGCTATGAGCCACCGTGCCTGGCTTTCTTTTCTCCCTCATCTTACAGTATGGTAAGAGACCAGATCTCATTTATTTGTTTTATCCTAATTGTCCTCACCTATTACATAATTTGTTTTTGCCCCACAGCGTTGAAAGGTTACATTTGTGGACTTACTCTGTGAATTTGATCTGTCTGTTGTCCCTCCAGCAGGACTTGAACCCTCCCCATCAGCTGGTGGGCACCACCTCCCCACCCCACTCCTTTTTTTAAACGTTTCACTTTGTCACAGGGTATCTTATATCCAGGCTGGCCTGTGTAACTGAGGATGGCCTTGAACTTCTGGTCCCCTGCCTCTGCCTCCAGACTGCTAGGATTATAGGTGTGTGCTCCAAGCCTGTCCACGGGTACTAAGGCTTAAAGTCTGCCTCTCTCCTTTTGTGAGAGTCTTACTCGCTAGCCAGCCCCAGCTATAGTTTAAAAATAAAAAATAGAATTATCTTTTTTCATCTTTGACACTTATGTACATATAAATGCTATATTTTGATCATATCCACCCCCAACTCACCCTTTCTACTTCCTGCAGGCTCCCCCAGTACTCCTATTCCTCCCTTCATGTCTGCTCCCTTTGTGTGTGTGTGTGTGTGTGTGTGAGAGAGAGAGCGAGAGAGAGAGAGAGAGAGAGAGAGAGAGTGCAAACATGTAATCTGCTGGATCTAATTAGTGCTGTACTGTTGATCGATCTTGTACAGGTAACTGTAGTTACTGTAAGTTCATCAGTGCAGCAGCCTTGTCCAGAAAACAGCATTTCCCAGCACCCCTCCCCACCCTTTGGCTCTTAAGATTCTCTCCACCCCTCTTCCATGATTACCTGAGTGGGGGGTGGGAAGGAATGATATGGATGTGATGGGGGATGTCCTTCTGTGTATATGTCTCTCTTATTGGTTGATGAATAAAGCACTGTTGGCCAATAGGGAAGCAAGACAGGTGGGACTAGGAGTCAAGGAGGATTCTGGGAAATGTAGTTAGGGAAGTCGCCATGTGATCCCAGGGAAGAGAGGATGCACGCTGCTGGCATCCTTGATAAGTCTTTATAAAATATATAGATTGATGGTTATAGTTGATACTTAAGACAGAGCTAACAAATAAGAAATCCTAGTCATTGGCCAGCAGCATTGTAACTAATCTTAATCTCTGTGTGTTATTTGGGGGCCCTAATGTGGCGGTGGAATTCAGGCGGCTGGCGGAAAGAGTTATCGTTACATGGATGTTCCATTTAGGGCAGACAATAATCAATTATTCTTGGCATTAAAATGGTTGAAACCAGTTATGAGTCTGCACTAACTGCTGACCACCACAGAGAGAAGCATGCCTCTGGCCAAGGTTGAGGGTAACTCTAGCTTATGTATATGAAAGCAAATATTTAGAAGGAAGCCTGACAGCCATGTCCACTTAGCAAGACAACAACAGTAGGTCCCCCCAGGGGCTTACGACCAGGTGTACAGTACCAGGCATAAACCCCTCCTGCGGCACAGGCATTAAATCCAATCCCTAATCTGTCCTACAACTTCTGATCCTTCTGACTGCTGGGATTTTAGGCATACACCACCACACTCAAACAGATAGATATTTCTGTCTTACAGAAAAACAGTTGAACTCTTAGAGAAACAAGGTGACAGAGCAAGAACCGTCACTTGTGCTCGCCCGTTCCCACCCTACAGGGACTGTGACCGTTCTTACTACATCCACGGTTCATTTCTTTTCTCTAGAATTACCCTTTTTGGGTCGTAGAGTAGCAGGCCATCATGAAGTCTATGTTTTGGGCAGAACAATGTTTAAAAACTCTAATTTTAAGGTCCTGTCTTTGCCTGAAGGCAATAGCTCAGTGTCCAGTATCTTTCCCATTGACCACCAGCTCTGGTTTCCTCTGGATTAGTGGAACTGCCAGGCACATGAAGGCTTGGCTAGGCAAGGTCAGACGGAGGCCTGGGAGTAGAAGAGGAAGCCAGATATGAGGGCTTTATTAATGGCGTGGTCCTTCCTCTCACAGGTATCTAGGCAAAGAGGGCTGGGCGCCAGCATCCTATCTGAAGAAGGCCAAGGATGACCTGCCAAGCCGGAAGAAGAACCTGGCGGGTCCGGTGGAGATCATTGGGAATATCATGGAGATAAGCAACCTGCTCAACAAGAAGGCGTCCGGGGAGAAGGAGGCTCCGGCTGAGGGCGAGGGGTCTGACGCTCCCATCACCAAGAAGGAGATCAGCCTCCCCATTCTCTGCAATGCCTCCAATGGCAGCGCCTTGGGCGTCCCTGAGAGGACCACATCGAAACTGGCCCAGGGCTCCCCTGCCGTGGCCAGGATCGCCCCTCAGAGGGCTCAGATCAGTAAGCAGCTGGGGGCCCCATTTCCTCCCAAAGAGCTCGTGCGGAGTGAGTGGGCATGGGTGCAGGGGAATCCAGGGACTGTCGGGGACCTCCATGTCATTTTCACCCTGAGCTACAGTCTGGCCTCTGATTGTCATCGTGCCCTGTGCCGATCACAAGAGTGAAGAGGGCCAGGGAGTGTGGGTGGCTGTGTACCTGCAGGTGGCTGCTCTGATGACACATTGCAGGCTGCCGGCCTCCCTCTCCCTAAGAAAGACCCGGGGTGGCTCTGAGCAAAGGAACAGACCCCAAGAGCAGGAATGGCATTTTTCCTCCCAAAAGAGGCGTTAGGACTCTAGACGATTGGTACAGAGCTGATTTTACAAACTCATGGGCCCAGGAGCGTGTGGTCCTCTGTGTGGACCTCTGTGTGGTCTCTGTGCAGCCTGCTTTGTGCAGTGAAGGACTGGAAGAGGGCGTGGAAGGGTGCTTGCCACCCAAGCCTGATCTGCTTTGATCCCTGGGCTGACATACAGGTGGAAGGAGGAAGCTGACTCCCTAAGCTGAGACTTGCCCACCCTCCCCCTGCATTCACCATAAATTACTAAAACCTGTCTGTCCTCACCCCTGCACACACCTCTGACTCAGCAACACCTTTGGTATTATGGGGTGGAGAGGGGGACACAATTTCTGTTTGTGTCCAGCCAGTAATCTGGGGGGAAGCTGTTTGGGGTTTTGGATTTTTTGCTTGGTTTTGGTTTTGGTTCTTCAGCTTCTCCCCTTGCCCTGTGTGTGTGTGTGTGTGTGTGTGTGTGTGTGTGTGTGTGTGTGTGTGTGTTACCTAGCCTTTGACTCTATTGTTAGCTCTTGGTACTTGGAGAAGTCTCTCCTGGGCGGGACTTGCGTCTGGCCTTGCGCTGCCTTCAAAGGACTTTGGACTAGTATGCAAAGATAGATGTGGTTTCTGCTTCTACTGAAAATCATAGATTCATGCAGCCTTTTCCTTGAAAACTGCCTGCCCGCAATATCTGTAGACTGGTGTCCCTATCTTTTGAGGGGAAGAACAGGCAAAGAAGCTAAAAGTTCCCTTCATTCCTACTTTCATAACCGTGGGACCCTAGCATGACATTTAAGAGTCCGGAGTGGACCCCACCCAGGGCAGGCAGGTGTAGACACTGCTGTCCACTCTGGGTTCTCAGAGCTGTGACTCTTCTTTCAGGTTCTCCAAACCTGCGGACAAGGCCACCCCCACGCAGGGAATCCAGCCTGGTAGGTGGACTGTCTCTTCATCCCTTCTCTGGGGTGGCCTGCAACACCCTTACTTGCTTGATGCCATTGAAGCAGAGCCTGTGGCCCAGGGGACTGGGGAGTGGCTGTTGGATTTCCATCTTTGAAGGGCTGGGGACAGGGACAGAAGCCTGCAGATCCCAGGCCTCCCCGGAGTTGGCCAGACAGCTTATAATCAGAAACGCACTGCACTCTGAAGCTAAATAAATCCATCCCAGCCACTGCACTGGCAGACATAAACATTTAGACTGGCCAGCAGGAGGGTCCAGCAGGCCATTGCCAGGGGCTAGAAATGGAGCTTCTGGCCATGATGGCCCAGAAGCCTTACAGCTCTCTCAGGATGGCCCAGTGAATGTGGTGGGCTTGGCAGCCTAGAGCATAAGGGGTAGACCAGTGCTTATCCTCCAGGAAGGAGAGGGAACCTCAAGACCTGGCCCATGGAGGTCCCTGACTCTTGAGTAGGTGGAGTTTCCCAGTGACTGCCATCTCAGACAGAGAGATGTGTAAGCAGGAGCTGGGGGAACAGCAACGTTGGTGACCAGCTGAGAGTCCTGAACAATGAATGACCTGTTACAGGACAGGGGAGTGAGGCGGGGGACAGCTCAATGAAGTTTAAGGCAAGCTTCCGGGCTAGGGTGCAGCTCAGTAGCAGAGTGCCTACTTAGCATGCACGAGGCTTTGGGGGTACCATCCTAGAGTCCCTGGAAGAACAAAGAAAGACCCTTTGCAGGTCACCTCCCCTCCAAAGTCCTCTGAGATAAGAACAGTGCTGGCCACCTAGCTCTGTCTTGAGGATGGGATGTCATGGTATATATTTAAGACTGGCATCCAGGTTTCCCTTTCCTGTATGGACTCCTGGCTGCTGGGTGGCACTGTCTGGTACTCTACATGGAACAGGTCCCTAAATCACACCTGGCTGCGTGCTACTCCAGTGGCATCTGCCCATCCATGGGAGCTGGAGGCCCTCTATACATTTGAAGATGTGCCCTCGGGCCATCAGTATTTTGTGACCAAGCCATTAGTCCCTCTAAAATTTCTCTCTCATTTTTCCTTGGGTTTTTGCAACTGCACAATGGATTCTCCATTTCTCCCTTCCCTTTGAGCCCCAGCTAATCATTTTCAGGCAGCCTTAACTTTGGCAAGAAGAGTCATTCCTTCCACACTTACAAACGCAAGCTTGCTGAGGGAGGCTGGTTCCAGTTAGGCTTAGCTGAATCCCATCCTGTCAGGGTGCAGGAGGGCTGAAGCATGGCTGGATGTGCCAGTTTCCATGTGTGGCTGTACAGTCAGGCACCCACCCCCCATAAACCATCTTTCCCCCATGCCCCCTCAGAGTGACCCAAGACAGCTCAGGTTAGAACAGAAGACAGAGGTAGCTGAGCCTTCAAGGGTAGAAACAGGTTCCAGAGGTACTGACCTCCGGCTTTGTTCAGCTATTCCTGCATCCCTCCTTCCTGGACTGGAAGCTATTACATCATGTCAGTAATCGTCTTCACAGCCCCATTCTTAGTTCTGTTTAACAGAAGAGGAAACTGAGGCTCAGAGCAGTTGCTTCTTCTAGGTCTGCCTTCCACACCACAGCTGCTCCCTTCCTCACCCCCCTGCCTTTTCAGCTGCTTTGTGTTAACCCCTTAGTATAAGGAAGAACAAATACGACGATGAAACCGGGCATAGTACATCCTTTTGTGGTTACAATCTGCCAGGCTGACTGTCCATGCAGCTTATACTGGCTGCCTCAGAGCAGCACCAAGTAGGTGCACAGAAAACGGCTGTTTAAAAAGAACATGGCTCATGGCTCATAGGCCAAGTGTTCTAAGTGTCCTTAAATACCGCTGTGAGAGAAGTTGTGTGCCAGCGCCTAGAAATCATATAGGCGTTCTGGAATATTCTGCCTGCCTACTGAAACAGGGCTACATTCTGTTCAGGGCACCAACAGGCTAACCTCCTCCCAAAGACCCCTCCCCAACCAGCTGCCCCCATGCTCCTACTTCACTGTCCTGAGGACGGCTGGCTCCCTCACCCTCTTCTCCAGAAGCTGCCCACTTGGCTTAGACCTTAGACTTATAAAATGGTGGTTTCCATGCTTTCCGTCTTGGGGTCCAACTCTTGTGACCTTTATAGGAAGCATCCCAAGAGCTCAAACTAGTGTTGTCTGGACCGTGAGTGCCATCTGGGGGGAGTCCTGATGTGTAAGTGACAGCTGCCTTCAAAGCCAGCTGCTATCCAGCTAGCAGGGATGGCCACAAGCACCTGAGGAGCCAATGGGCACCAGTCACTGGCCTTAGTACCGCTCTGATTAGCTCTATTTGCTCACTGATTGTTTCTGCTTTAGGGGTTCCAGCTGCCAAAGCCACCAGAGCCCCCTTCTGTTGAGGTAGAATACTACACCATTGCTGAATTCCAGTCTTGCATTTCTGACGGCATCAGCTTTCGGGGCGGACAGAAGGCTGAGGTGAGCCTCCTTTGGGCTAAGGATCTGCTTCATATTTTTTTGTATGTCTTCTTGGCAAGGTTTCTGAGGGTCAGGCAGGGCAGGTACCGAAGTGAGCCTGTGGCCATGAGTACTACTTGCCTAGTGGGGGAGCAACCAGGACTAGAGCCCGAGACTTGGGTTTCTGCCCTTCGCTTGCTTACAGTGCTTACCCCATAGTGGCATGTCCCTAAACATGCAGGGTTGAGCACGACAAGCCTGGAAATGAAGTGCTGCTGAAGGTGTGTGAACTTCCAGGGCAGAACAGTTTGACAGTTTGCTTCATCAGGAATGTTTTATTTGGGAGGACACACACACACACGCACACGCACACGCACGCACGCACGCATGCATGCAGATCAGAGGAAAATATTGTGTATTGACCCAAGAAATCCTAATGAGATTTTGTTGAGGTTTTTGTGGATACTAGGAGGACATTTTGCAGGGAGGATCTGATCTCAGGCCTGGTTTATGCCTCTTCCCGTTCTCACCTGAGAGACCCTTTCAAAGGGTACTGGACATGGGTGGAGATCGGGAACAATGGAACACTGGTTCTTTATCCATATTGATCCTTCGCAAGCTGGTTTTTGTAGGGTCTAGGAACAATGTGCTAGATTTGGGGGTGTTGTGGAGTTATTGGCACAGACTTAGGGAGCCTCACAACCAGGACCAGGGTTTGCATCTAGCCTGCCACTGACTGCCATAGGTCTCAGAGCCACTTATTCAAGATCTGTGTCTATAAAATAGGCCGAGTGGGACATTGTAGGGACCCCGAGACCCCTGGACTCACCGGCCTGTCCCTCTTCCCTCAGGTCATCGATAAGAACTCAGGCGGCTGGTGGTACGTGCAGATTGGGGAGAAGGAAGGCTGGGCCCCCGCGTCATACATTGATAAGCGCAAGAAGCCCAACCTGAGCCGCCGAACCAGCACCCTGACCCGGCCCAAGGTGCCCCCGCCTGCACCCCCCAGCAAGCCTAAGGAGACCGAGGAGAATCCTGGGGGTGCCTGTGAGAGCCAGGACTCCCCACTGAAGCTTAAGTATGAGGAACCTGAGTATGACATCCCCGCCTTCGGCTCTGACTCAGAGCCTGAGCTGAGTGAAGAGCCCACTGAGGACAGGGCCTCAGGTGACAGGCGACCTGCCCAGCCCCGAAGGCCCTCACCCGCCTCCTCCCTGCAGCGGGCACGCTTCAAGGTGGGCGAATCTTCTGAGGACGTGGCCCTGGAAGAGGAGACGATCTATGAGAACGAGGGCTTCAGGCCCTACACAGAAGATGCGCTGTCTGCCAGAGGCTCCTCTGGGGATAGTGACTCCCCTGGAAGCTCCTCGCTGTCCCTTGCCATGAAAAATTCCCCCAAATCAGGGTCTCCCAAATCATCATCACTGCTAAAGCTCAAGGCAGAGAAGAATGCCCAGGCAGAACTGGGGAAAAACCAGTCCAACGTCTCCTTCTCCTCTTCCATCACCATCAACGCCACCTGTTCCTCCTCCTCCTCCTCCTCTTCCTCCTTGTCCAAGAACAGTGGCGACACGAAGCCACGCTCTGCCTCAGATGCAGGCATCCGTGGCACCCCCAAGGTCGGGACCAAGAAAGACGCCGATGTGAAGGCCGGGCTGGCCTCCTGTGCCCGAGCCAAGCCATCGGTCCGACCAAAGCCAGTCCTGAACCGAGCCGAGTCTCAAAGCCAGGAAAAGATGGACATTCGCTCCTTACGGCGCCAGCTGAGGCCCACAGGTCAGCTGCGGGGGGGCCTCAAGGGTTCTAGGAGTGAGGACTCAGAGCTGCCCCCCCAGACAGCCTCTGAGGGGTCCAGGAGAGGCTCTGCTGACGTCACTCCCCTCGCGGCCACCGGCCCCCCGTGTGTTCCCAGGATGGAATGGGAAGGGCAAGGCACCGCCTATGTGACACGCAGTGCCTATCAGAAGGTCCAGGGCTCCGAGATCAGCTTCCCTGCGGGCGTTGAGGTGCACGTGCTGGAGAAGGCAGAAAGCGGATGGTGGTATGTGAGGTTTGGGGAGCTGGAGGGCTGGGCTCCTTCCCACTATTTGGTGCCGGAGGAGAACCAGCAATCTGACGCCGCTGGCAAAGAGCCAGACTCAGTGAAGAGCACTCAGAATGAGGGCAAGTCGGACAGTCTGGAAAAGATCGAGAAGCGGGTTCAAGCGCTGAACACCGTGAACCAGAGCAAGAGGGTCACCCCACCCATCCCCTCAAAGCCTCCTGGGGGTTTCGGCAAGACCTCGGGCACCGTAGCGGTGAAGATGAGGAACGGTGTGCGGCAGGTGGCAGTCAGGCCCCAGTCTGTGTTTGTGTCTCCACCACCCAAGGACAACAACCTGTCCTGTGCCCTGAGGAGGAACGAGTCACTAACGGCCACTGACAGCCTTAGAGGTGTGCGCAGGAACTCCTCCTTTAGTAGTGCACGGTCAGCAGCCGCCGAGGCCAAGGGCCGCTTGGCAGAACGGGCTGCCAGCCAGGGCTCAGAATCACCCCTGCTGCCTACCCAACGCAATGGCATCCCCATCTCCCCCGTGCGTCCGAAGCCCATTGAGAAGTCTCAGTTCATCCACAATAACCTGAAAGATGTGTATATCTCTATTGCAGACTATGAGGGGGATGAGGAGACAGCTGGCTTCCAAGAGGGGGTGTCCATGGAGGTGCTGGAGAGGAATCCCAATGGCTGGTGGTACTGCCAGATCCTGGATGAGGTGAAGCCCTTCAAGGGCTGGGTGCCCTCCAACTACCTTGAGAAGAAGAACTAACAGCACTGGGTCCTTCCAGACTCAGTGTGCTGCTCTGGCTGCCACTGAATGAATGGTGGCATGCAGACAAGGGGAAGGACAACGGGAGGGGGGAGGGGATGACAACATTGAACCCTGCAGAATATGTGACCCCCGAAGACACCCTCCAGCTGGAAGGGAGGGTGTGATGGGTGCACACACTTAGTAGGCGAAAGGGAATAGTGGGGTTCTCCTGGGCCTGGAACCCCTGCACACACACTGGTGACTTTGCTTGTGGGCCATATGCCATTGCATATAGGCCACATGGGAAAGCCCAGTTGTGCCTTTGCTGCAGGCCTGGAAAAGATGTCACCAGGTGTGTCCAGGGTCCTGTCCCTGCTCAGCCACTTCAGTGGCTGGGTTCTTGCCTCTGGAAGTCACCCTTGTGTTATCCTAATGATGTGTTCGGCACTGAGTTGGTTTCTAGTCCACTACTGACCACTGGTGGGAGTCTGGTGGACCACCAGCTCTGGGGCTGGGTGGTGTCTCCTAAGAGCTCGGCCATTCCTGGGGCCGGGCCACAGCCTGTTTGGTAGTTAAGAGTTCCCAGATGCCAACAAGGGCTGCCTGCCTTTGCTGTGCTGGCCTGGCCTGGCCTTGCAAAGAGAGCCTGCCCTCCTCAGGGCACATGGAGGACACTGGGAGTTGACCTAGAGGATGGTTGGTGCCAGGCTCCTAATAATATAGAATTGCTAGAGGATTTCCAGGTAGGCAGTTCCTTGTGCATGGTTGGGAAGGTGTTATTGGTTTGGAGGTTATAAATCAGGCGTTTGGTTTGGGGTTTATTTTAGAAGTTGTTTGGGGGCCCGAAGGGCTTAGCCTCTCATAGGAGAGGGAGTAGTGGTGGGTGGGTTTTTTGTTGAATTTCATGGAGGGATGTTTTATTTAGATTTTGGTTTAATGATTTTGCCTTTCCATAAGCCAAGTTGTTTGTTTAGTTTTGCACTGTGTGAACAGTGCCCTAGCATGGCATCTCACCAGGGAATTTGGGACTGGGTAAAGCCAGGTCCTGGGCTTGGTGAAAAAGTGTTCAGGTTCCTGCCCAAGAGGGAAAGGCGGGCATCGTTAGAAGCCATGCTGATGGGGGACTGTTCTGCCTGCTTCTGCCCACATTCCCCAATCTGGGCAGGGCCCAAAGAAAAAGCCTTACTGTGGAGAAGTCACCACCAACCCTGGGCAGAAGGGACCCTGGCTGGGTCAGGCTGGAGCAGATACCTCCCACTGTGCCCCTTAGCCTGCTGGCAATGTGACAGGTGCCCAAGAAGATGGAGGACTTCGAAGCCAGGAACCAACCCTGTCTTCCCAAGGGGCAGTGCCCCAGGGAACAGAATCACAAGAATGGAGTTTGCTGCCATCCTCTGAGTTTTGGGTTGTGATTAAATGATTGACATTTCAGAGAGAAGCCAGAGAGAAGCCCAGTGGGCTTCCTCCAAGGACTCCCCTCATGCTGGGAGTGGATTCCACGTGTGCCTTTGATTTGGGACAGATCCTGCCTCACAGTCTCTGGCTGAGATGCCAGCGTCTCCCCCCCACACCCCCTCAGGGCTGCTGGTCCTGACAGACTTGGAGGAAGAGCGCCTCTCACCCCTCCTCCCAGGCAGGTCTGCCTTCAGCTCCCAGCCCTAATGTCCTGGATTCCCAAGCCCATGTCCCTCCCGTATGCGGATGCAAACCGCGAGCCTCCTTTGTCAAAAGCCCGTGGCGACATTGTTCTGTTTCCTTCTCTGTGTTCATGAGTTTGTTTAAAATTGAAATTAGTTATTTTCTTCTGCTGGACAGTATTAAATAGAGCAGGATGTTGAGTTAATCTGCTAGGTTGCAGTACTAATGGTAGTGGGTTAGTGTCTTCATGATATTCTTTGTACTTATTTGAACAATAATGGTAAAGAAGTGGTTCATTATTTCTGAATTAATGCACTTTAAATAAGGTGAAATGGAAAGAAACCCGGAGAGCGAAGTGCATTACTTAAAGATGCAGTATATACTCTTCTCATTTTAAAACAGCACATATTTATTAAAAGAAGAAAAAGTAATTTATGACTATTTAAAATAAAATTTAAAAGTAGAGTGACTGTCAGGTGAAAGGACCTTCCACACAGCTGTCTGCCGGGGGGATGGCCCACAGCCTTACTCCTCAGATGTCTGCATTGAGCCAGCTCCGTGATTAGTGCGCAGCCAGGCACAGAGCATCTCAGTTGGACTGGACCACCGAGATCCCCAGAGCCTGCCTTCCCCACCTTCCCTGCCCGATTCCGCACTCACACCCTCTGTCTGCACTCAAAAGACCCTCTACCAATTCCCCGTGTCCTGAAATCATAGACTCCTTAAAAGCAGGACTGGAAGGGACCTTAGGGGTCACTCCATTCCAGCCCTTCTGGTTACTTCAGCCCAAGGTCAGGAAATGACTTTCTCCAAATCTCCCAATTAATGTCAGGTTTCCCCTCTGCATTTAATCCTGCCATTCTCTCCTGTCCCTTTAGTTTAGTGTGTGGTCATTGTGTTTACATATTAACATCCAGCCCCAGGGATGGCTGGGAGTTGCTCAGGCATCTGGGAAAAGTGGGGAATGTTGCCACCTAGTGTCAGTATGTAGACTTGGTCAACAAATAGTAATAGCCAAGGTCCATCACCACCAACCAGCCCATTAGGGCACAGCACAAACCCTGCAAGCCCAAAGAATACTTGAAACAAGAAGGGTGCATGCCAGGCCTTCTCAGACGTGGCCAGGGGATACCAGACCTTGTGTCCCTGGATCCTAGTCCTGCCCAGGCAAGAGGGCCTTTCCCTAGAGCTAAAAGAGCTGCTTTGTGACATTGGACAGACTGTGGCAGCAGTGGAAGAGGGAAGGGCCTGGGGCTCTGACCCATCTGGAGGAAAACCAGATCGGACTAAAGGAAAAAAAATGGAATCCCAGCAATGTCCAAACCTAGTTTTCCATTAGTAATGATTGAAAATGTGAAATGACATTGTATTGCTGTATACTGCAACTTTAATCATAATGAGCCCTTCTGAGGTCATTATTGCGGTTTATATAATGCCCGAAGATGCATTGATCGGTGCTTTGTTTCCTTTCAGTTTAAAGACCCTTGTATTACAAGGTGGAGGGAAGTTTTCAACCTTACCCTTCTTTGTCACCAGTAGACCTGGCTACACTGCCTGGCTCCTCTGTGTTCTCACAGTGGGGTGGGAGGTTCCAGCAGCAGCAGGTTCCTGTCTGCCTTGGGGCCCCCTACACAGCCCAGGTCCTATTTGTAGGGCCTCAACCCTTCCATCCCTAGCCTGGCCCCGAGGGTTCCTTTTTCTCCTAAATGGACGAAGGCATTATATAGAATCATTGTAGTCACTTTGAGGTATTAGAGCGGCATATTTTACTGGCATTTATCTCCATGGCTTTCCTCAGCAAGGCATGTTACTACTTTTATCCTCTAAGGAAAAAAGACAAGGGAATTTCAGCCAAACATTATTTTCATATGACTAGTACTTGCAGAGTAGGTGTAGAGCTATTTAAGTTAAGTGTTTTGTTTTTAGGAGGGGGCAGGTGAAACCGCGCCTGCTTTTCCTGGGTTTGACTAATGTATAATTTCTTTAAGGTTACTCACTTCCCCATTCCCTCCAAGTACTTTGCATTCTCAATGGAAAATGAAAGCAATCTGAGACAGAAAAAGTGCAATATTACCAAGAGGGGTGTGGGACAGAGTGGGGGAGACCCTGTTGCATCTGCAGAAGATGGGAGGGGCTACTGGGAGGAGTCAGTACTGTGGAGCACATGGGTGGGCCGTGGGTTTGGTCTCCAGGCAGGCTGACTGTCTCCTGCCCACTTCCCTGGCATGAAGAAAGGGGTAGCCACCAGAGGACAGCCCACTCATGCTGTCCACCTAGAAGGAAGGGACCTGGGGAAGTGGCATGGTGCTCTTGACCTCTTGAGCCCAGTCCCCAGGGCAGAATGAGGATATCCAAGACCCACTCATGTTTTCATTCCCTTTTGCAGCCAGCTGCTCAGAGAGACCCGTCCTAGAAGCGATTCCCAGCAGCCCAGTTGCCCCAGCCTCCTGATGTGTGGGCTTCGATGCTTTGGATGTGTGTTTGAGTCTTTCTAAAACTATGGAACCTCAGTTCAGCTATGGACAGGAATCCTGGCTGTAAGCAAACTAATTTGGAGGGCGGGTGCTTTAAGCCCTTCATACCCAGTAAGACCCGATTCCTACAGGCCTACAGTAGGCCTGGGGCTGAGTCCCGGCCACCCATTCATCTCAGTGACTTGGGCAAAAGGCATGAGCCCTGCTTCTGACAACAGAAACCCCATGACAGGTACACACCAGCCTCCTTTCACATTCAGGGAGGAAAGTGTTGGGATAAGATGTCTTCTGTGGGGTTTGGAGCAAGTCCCAGAGCTCAGCCACCCCCAGGATCCAAAGCACAGCCTTGCTGGTGTGTTCCTTCTATGTAGTACTGTAGGCCTGCTGCTCCAACCCACCTTTGTGTGAATTTCTATAGAGATAGGGAGAGGGACCAGGCCCCTTTTGGGGTCTCTCCCTTAGAATAGATATTGCTGCATAGCTGGTCATTCGACTGTCTGTGCAGCTTTCTGGAAAGACAGCAGTCCACATCACTAACCAATTAAGATTCCCTCGCTTTTTTGAGGGCTGAGAGAGTAGTGTGTGTGTGTGTGTGTGTGTGTGTGTGGTGTGGTGGTAATTTCCAAGTGCGTGGATATTACATGAGTGTGTGAGAGAGACTGGTGGTAATTTCCCACTTGAACTAAATAGCATGGGGTTAGAGGAAATAAATACAGGGCAGGCGGTCTCCATTGAACTAGTCCTTGGCATTGGGCAGGTCCCAAGGGACTCACAGCTTCTGGCAGCAAGTATGTGTGTCATTCACATGATTCTGGCTGGAGAGTGCAATGTGTCTTTTAAATTTGTTTTTGTAATTATTTTATTATTTAGTTGGAAACTTCACACTGGCATTAGCATATCTAACAAGCAGCCCAGGTCAGCATCGGGGCACCAAGATGAAGACATGGAATAGATACTATTGAGTATGGAAATGCTGAGGTGGTTAAATAGTGCACCTGTGTCCTTGGTATGAGAATCCCCAGGGGGTCCAGGAGAGCTGCTGGCCTTTGGTTTGGTTCTGAGAGAGAGGCAGGCTGGGCAGGGGGAGGACTGTTCATGGAGTTACTGTAGGACCTGCAGGTGTCCACACAGCAGTGCCGCCCGTCTCCACTGCAGGCCTAGAGTGCTTCCTGGGAGTGTGGAGGGCTCCTGGGGAACTGAGTTTGTCTAAATCCCATTTGGGGCAGTCTCATGTCCCTGTGTTTCCCAAACTCTATTATCAGAGCCAGTGATGGGACAAGGTCTGTGACCTTTGGCCTTAGCACTGCTTTTGACTACTGCTTTGTTCTGTGCATCTGGGCCCCCCAGGCCACAAAGTGGGCATACTGATGCTTTTGTGTTGAATGGGAGGACTTCCTTTCCAAAGCCTTGATTCCAACCTGGCTGCAAGGGATTGGCATGTGACACCCCCTCTTCCCCTATCTTGTCTAAATCTTAAGTGACCTTGACAGTCAGGACCCCTCCCCCATTGCAGTCTAGGACTTAGTGGCTTTAGAGTGGGGTCCCCAGTGCTGAAGGTGCCTACTTTATTCCAAATTTCATTCTGGACAATGGGCTGTGTCCTTGGAAGTGTGAGAGGTTTGTGTTAATGCAAAAGGGTGTATCTAGCATGTTGGCAAGCCAGTGGGAGGCATGTTGGCAGGATGAGTATGCAAGTTTGAGGTTACTGGGGCTTACCGTCCCTGCTCTGGGAGGAGTCTCCCAGAAGTCTTTGAAGCAGAGAAGGTGTGGGAAGGCTGAAGGAGGGTTTGGAGTTGTGCTATCTTTATTGGTGGGAGAAAGAAGGAGTCGGTGACCAGGTTTACAGGGATTTTTGTTACTCACCAGCCAAGAGTCCAGCCAGAGAAAACTCACTCGCTGGGTCCCAGCTGGGCTTCTATTTTCATTGATGTCTTGGGGAAGATGCACTGTAAGCTGGAAGCCAGTGTTTGAGTTTGGAGGCCCTTTTCCAGAAAGACCTAAATCACCTCCCAGATTCCCAGTAGTTTTTGCCCAATGCATTTTGTCCAATACAGAGCTAGCCAGCCAGTCATCTGTACAAATCAGAGGCCGTAATAGGCCACACAGTAGGGCCCACCATCCCCATACTAGAACTTAAGAGCCCAGGAGGCAGGCGGCCCCTTTTCTTGGTGACAGAGGACATCATTCCCAGGACTCTAGTAGAAGCTATGGCTCTAACTAATGAGTTTGCCTCCTGCTGCCATCAAACCAGGTGGAACACACCAACATCCCTGCATATGCTTTTTGTTTTCTAGTGGCTTCTACTGAGGCACACTGAGTTTACTTAAAAGGGTACACAGATACCATTCTTAAATTTACAACATGTCCCCTGCAACAGAGAACATGGGTGTCCCTACAGTTACTGAGAGGTCTGGAAGGTGATTTGTAAGGCAGATGTGAGTGGCCACTCTTGCAGCATGGATATGTAGACTCTGGTGGCAGCAAACAGATGGATGTCATTGGGTGTGACACCTGAATCACAGGGACTTCTCGCAGTGTCCACTCATCCCCAGCCAGCATAGTGGGGTCGGCAGAAGCCCTTCCCCCGGGTTCTTCTCCCCACCTCAGCAGAGAAACAAGGCCATTGGATGTAGTAGGGTCCATGCAAGTGCTGGCCTCTCTCCAGGATCCTCGGTGGTGCTAAACTATCTCCATGTTTCTCACGATTCTAATAGTGGGTTGTTTTTATAAGTCTCATCCCAAACATGCAGTGTCCTTGGGGGAGGGACGCAGCCCCCCTTGGCCTGCCACTTTCCAGCTGTCATTTGTCACTTCGAAGGGATTCTTTGGTCTGTAGGAATGACCTGTCTTGGGATGCTTCTAGACTTTAAAATTTGGGTTGTTTTGTTTAATATTTTGTTTATGTTTACATGCATCTTGTATTTTCCTGAGAACTAAATAAAGTTTTTGGCCTTTTTAACCGAACAGAATCGGTGATTTTCTCTAGTACCAGAGGACCCATTCAGTTTAATAGCAAAAGTCCCTCCAGCCCAAATGGCAACTGACTCCAGAATCAGGGAGGGGAGATCGGCTCCCACAAGCTCCTCTAGTCCTTCCCACCTGCAGCCACCTTTCTGGGAGTAGCCAAAGCTGGACCCTAGTCCTTATTGGTCTGCATTGGTCTCTAGTAAGCAGGGGAAAATGGGCTTGAGGTCAGTTCAAAGACAGGCTTGACTATGTGGTGAAAGTCTCCTTCCAGGAGAGGGTGTAGGCAGGTATCCCACAAGTCTCTGGGGCCTGGCCCTGACAATGTGCGCAGCTCTAACATTGTCTAGACCCTTGGGCCCAGTTTACCTTCCTTTTCCCCACCCCAGCCACAGGGTTGACCTGTCATTCTCCTGTTAGTCTCTAGATGGCAAACGTACCTCACAGGATCTCTGGCCTGAGAGGAAACAGCATAGCATGCCTGTGGTGTCCTAACACTGTTTCCCCTGACTCAAAGTTCCCAGGCCACCAGAAGGGCTGCAGCTTCTCTCAACTTTAAAGGCTTGCCTGGTATTTGGGACCCCAGTGTCTGAACCCCATACCATGCTCCAAAGCCTGACTCTAAGAAGGCTTCTCTGTCATAGGCCCTTTGGGGTTCAGGGGTCTACAGTAAAGGAGAGACTGGGGCTGTTACTGATAGCCCCTAATCACTCAGGTGTGCTCACACATTGGTCTACCTCCCAACCTCCAGACACACAGCACAGCCCTCAGGCTGGTACGAAATCACCTTTATTCACAAGCACAGTGACCCAGTTCACGAAGGAGGCAGAACGCCCTCCGTAGTAGCAAAATGGACAGCGATGGCTTCTTTTCACACCTCCAGCCAGACAGCTCTGCCCCATCAGACTTTCTCCATCTCTAGGATGAGCCCCCAGTTAGATGGGGCAACTTACCAGCTCCAGCCTGCTCTCACAGAAAGGGTCTACGAGGTCCAGTGACTGAGAGGCGAGACCCAGGGAGGCAAAGATTCCCTGGGTCCCTCCCTGGAAGGCCAGTGCCGGCAAATGCCCACCCTGGCACCATTCTCAATGCCTTCCCAGTACGTCCTCCTAAGAGACATCCCAAAAGAACCCCCAGGAATCACACTCAGAGTGTTCCACCCCCAAACCACTTTACACAGGGGAAGCTGAGGTTTGGAGGGTGACCTCTGGCCAGGGTGGCAGGACTGGCCAGTGGCCAGGACAGAGTCCTAGCCCCTGTCTGTCAAGGCAGAAGCCATCTCTGAGGGTATAAAACCAGCCGTCTGAGGGCCAATGGCTGAGGGGCTGGGAGGACCTAGGCTAAGACTCCACAGTAACCCAGAACAGGCAGGGAGGGCTGCAGAGGCAGTAGCCCAAGAGTGAGGGACACTCCCTTAGCAGGACCAGGGGCCTGCCTTCAGGACCCATCCTCCTTCTAATCAGGGAGGGTCTCCATTCTGGTCCCTGGCCCACATGTCCACAATCTTCCCCAACCTTGCAGAATTTTTGATGTCTTTATAGAGGAGGACTCCTGGAGTACAGATGACCTTGAACCAATCACACTAACTTAGCTCCCACCCAGGGAGGAAGGGCACAGGTGGACATCAGTGGTTTCCCATCCAAGAGAGGCCCGTCCACCTCTTGGGAGGCCTCCAGCCTGGAGTTCCACCTCGGGGTTAGCAGGACTGCCCATGAGCCTGTGTCAGTGCCTGGGGGAGATTCTGAGTGGCTACTCTACTGCCCCTTACCTAGCAACCTCCCAACAGTAGAATTTTAGGAGCCCCCAGGTTGGAATTAACCCACAAACAAAACTCATAAACCCAATAAATAAATAAATTAAAATGAGGAAAAGGGCTGTCCATAGCCCAGGAAACCCCCACCCTACTGAGGGCCCCTGTCCCTCCTGGGCACAAATGGCAGGATCAGCCCAGGCCAAGGCTGGCACTGAGATGAGGGAGGACAGGCCTTAGGGGTGGCTGTGGACCTGCTCTTTGGGACCCTGACAACAGAAAGGCCCACCTCAGCCTATACTGAATGGGCACCTTAGGCAGCGGCACCAGTGAGATGATTGGTGCAAGTTATGGCAAGGAGAGGTCCTGAACATGGTGGGTCGGCACAAGGTCGAGGACCTAGGACCTGGGATCTTGTGCAGCCTGTCTGTTCCCCCACTCTGGGTAAGGAGGAGGAGGAGACAGGGCATGCAGTGTGCAGCTGCCCAAGGAGGGAAGAGTCCACTGGCCTCCTCCCACGCTGCCCAGGGAAGGCTACATGTTCGCTCTCTCCAAGGCACCACACGGGCTGCACAACTTAGAAACCTGCCTAGATAGTGAGGGATGGCAACAAGTTGAGACTCCGCTTCAGCCCCTCACAGTGCAGAAGTCTGGGTAGAGAGGGAGACTGTGGGGTAGCCTTCTCCCCTCCCCTCCATTCATTAGGTACTACCTGTGCCCCCACCTCCCTGCCTCAGACCCTCTCAGCCCAAACCTTCAGGGACCTTGGTTTCCCATGTTTAATGGAAAAGGAGGAAGAGTTTTCAAAACGTGGAAGAGAAGGGACCCTGTTGGCTTCGCCCTTAGTTGGTGCTGGGCCGAAATCTGCAGAAGTGGGGGTTCGGGCGGGGCTCTGCAGTGGGCTAGGAGCTGCGGTAGGTCTTGATGATGTCCTTGATGGGGCGCCGGCAGATGGGGCAGCAGGCGTGCAGGGCCTTCTTGAGGCGCAGGCCACAGGAATAGCACAGACACATGTGTCCACACGTATAGATGACTGTGTCCACTGCGTGTTCATAGCAAATGGTGCACTCATCGCCCCACTGGCCCATCCCTGGGGTCACCGGTGACTCGGGCAGGCTCACAGGTGAGTTGGGGGCCGTCCCTGAGAGCAAAAGCACCAATCAAAATGGGATGGTACCCCGCCCAGCTCAGGGCCTGTGAGAAAAGGGTTCCAGGGCTCTTCTTCCAAGATGGAAATCCACCTGTTTGCACTGACAACCCACCTTCCTGCCCAAGGAAGAAGCCGAGCTGCGGCAGCCTGGCTCTGGCCACACAGCCCCAGACCAGGAACAGAGTGGCAGTGGCAGAAAAGAGGAAAAAGAGGACTTCCCAAGAAATTTAAGGCATGACCCTCCGGCACTAACCCTTGGTATCCCCTGTGTGCTTTCTCAGAAGTCCCCTGGAGGATCAGGTACACTCTTCTGGGCTCCACGACTCCTATGCTCACGTATCCACATACACCCTACCAACACACACACACACGCACGCACGCGCGCGCACACACACACACACACAATTTAAAATAAATCTTTCAAATAAAAGATTTTTTGAAAAAGTCACAGCTACACGTCTGTGGTGGTCTGAACAGGTGTGGTCCCCACAGCCTCCTGTGTGAATGCTTGGTCCATAGGGAGTGGCACTACTGGGAGGTGTGGCCTTGTTGGAGAAAGTGTGTCACTGTGGAGGTAGACCTTGAGGTCTTATAAGCTCAGGTCTGGTCAGTGTGACAGTTTTTCCTTCTTCTGCCTACAGATCAAAATGTAGGTCGGATTCTTAGTTTCTTCTCCGGCACCATGCCTGCCTGCACGATGCCATGTTTACCACAGTGATAATGGACTAACCCTTTGACATTGTAAGCCCGCTCAATGAAATGTTTTCTTTTATAAGAGTGGCCTTGGTCCTGGTGTCTCTTCACAGCAATAGAAACCCTAAGGCATCTGAAGAGATAAGTCAACAGTTAAGAGGGCTTGCTGCTCTTCCAGAGGACCCGAGTTTGATTCTCTTCACCCTCATCAGTTAGCTTGCAACTGCCTGCTGCCTGTCATTCCAGTTCTGGGAGCACCCAGTATATCTTCTAACATCAACAGGCACTGCAGGCATCCATCAATGCACACACACACACACACACACACACACACACACACACACTCAAAATAAAAGATAATTAAAAATAACTTTTTAGGGCTAGAGAGGTGGCTTAGAGGTTTAGAGCACTGGCTGCTCTTCCAGAGGTCCTGAGTTCAAATCCCAGCAACCACATGGTGGCTCACAACCATCTGTAATGAGATCTGGTCCCCTCTTCTGGCCTGCAGGCATAACATACAGGTAGGCAGACCACTGTATACATAATAAATAATGTTTGAAAAATAACTTTTTAAAGCATAAAAGTCCCCTGGTGAGAGCTGCCAGCCCCTGCCCTAACAAAGGCTGCATTCTCCCTCTCTGGAGACTATGTATGAGGAAGGAAACATCGACCCAACCACAGGACCTTGGTACTCACCACCAGTAGAGCCACCCAGAGGCCCAGAACTGCAGGTGCTGGGTAGGGGGTCAGAGAGGCGGCTGTCCAGGGCACTGGGCGAGGTCGGAGTGGAGGCAGGTGAGCAGGAGAGAGATGGGCCACCCCGTTCAGCCATGATGGTGGAGCCTGATAAAGGGGGATGGGCCACAGTACCATTAGCTTAATGGAGAAAGCTCAGTCCCCACCCCCACAGAGGGCTCCCACATCTGCCTATAGAACAGTTGCAGACTCGGGGCAGGACCCCATAGTCTAGCTTAACTCCTGCCTAGTTTGGTAGCCCCCTTTCCCCTCCTAGGTACCTTTGGCCTTCAGAGAATAAAGTTCCCGTCCCTGCCTCTTACTTCTGCCTCCTGTCAGCCTCCTGTCAGAGTCCTGCCCTCTCTACCACAGTGCCTAGGAACCACCTGTTTTTCTCTGTACTGGCACCCTGGTCCCCATATTCTGGTCCTACAACCTTCCTTCCCTCCCTGCCATCCTTCTAAAGTCCTTCCCAGATGCACAGATGAGACTGGGGACAGAGCCTAGGGAGCCTCTTGAGGCTGTCCTCAAACCTCAGCCCCTGGGCAGCCATGGCTCCCCTAAACACAGCCTCCTGGTCACTGACTAGCCATACCCAGCCACATGGCCTGAAGTCCTGTCTTTTTTGCCTAAGAATCCAGCTCCGTTCTCCAGCAGAACCATAAGCTTTCTGAGAACAAGAGAAGCCTTGCTGCCTGTGAGTCCCACGGGCCCTAAGGAATGTTCTGTGTACAGCAGGTGCACTATTAGCTGTAACTCGTTCAATAGTGCTATTATCTCTAAGACCGATTAATGCATGTTCATAAGGTAGGTCTCTTTCTGTTCCTTTCTCCCTTCTCTCCTCCACACTAGAGACTGAACCTAGGGCTTCACTCATGTTAGGAAAGCATTCTACCACTGACCAATGTCCCAGTGCCCTTATCTAGCTTTTTATTTTAAGATAGGCTCTCACTAAGTGGCCTAGGCTGGCCTTGAACTTGCTCTGCAGCCCAGGCAAACCTTGAATGTCTGGGCCTCCTGCCTCAGCCTCTCAAATAGCTGGGGGTCACAGGCCCAGCTCATACAGTTTCTCTTACTACATTAATATTTTAAATTATCCTCTCTTTCCAAAAATCCATACCTATTTACTTTTCTTGCCCTACTGCATTAGTTAGCATTTTCAGAACAAAGTCTAGAAAGCAACCCTGATATAGTTGTCTTTAGTGAAAATAGTTCTGATCCACCAGTGAACATAAAGAAAGCTGTAGGCTGTGTGCGAGTGGATAAAGGAAATAGCCCTGAGTTATCAGCTTATGGGGGACTTTCACTAAGCCAAGCATTTACTGTAAGGGGAACAATGCCTCTCCATATGCTGCTACTGGCTTTGTTTTTCCTTTGGAGTCAGTCAGGATTCCCCAGCAGCACTTTGCTGACTAGCATGCCCAATTCTCCAAACAGCTCAGAACTATTAGGTTTGATGTGTGATTTAATCTTTTTTTGTTTGTTTGTTTTTTCAAGACAGGGTTTCTCTGGTTTTGGAGGCTGTCCTGGAACTAGCTCTTGTAGACCAGGCTGGTCTCGAACTCACATAGATCTGCCTGCCTCTGCCTCCGGAGTGCTGGGATTAAAGGTGTGCGCCACCACCTTTAATGTGATTTAATCTTTACAAGTGTTTCTTTTACAAATGTGGTTGTCCTGAATTTGGGGCATAAATGTAAAGAATTGAGACTTTGTCTTGATGGATTTTTCCTTTGAATATGAACTGTCCTCCATCTTTTTAGATTAGTTTTAGCTTGAAGCCTATTTTGTTAGATATTAGGCTTGCTTCTCAGGTCCATTTGATTGAAAAATCTTTGTCTGACTCTTTATTTTGAGGCAATGTCTGTCTTTCAAGTTCACGTGTGCTTCTTGTATGCAGCAGAAGGATGGATCCTGTTTTCATATCCATTCTGTTTGCCTGTGTCTTTTCATTGGTGAATTGATATTAAGAGATATTGATCACAAGAGATTGTTAATTCTTGTTTTTTGGTTTTGGTGGTGGTGGTGACAGGGTGTGTGTGTGTGTGTGTGTGTGTGGGTGTGTGTGTGTGTGTGTATGTGTGTATGTGTGTGAGTGTGTATTGTGTATGTGTGTGAGTGTGAATGTGTGTGAGTGTGAGTGTGTATGTGTGTGTGAGTGTGTATGTATGTGTG